CATGGCTTATACTCTCTGTATAGTAGCTTTGTCAAGCAGTCACCCTTTTTATGTAAAATGTGCATGATGTTGAGAAACTCTAAATCCCCCCTTCTCAATAAAATCCCATTTTTTTTTCAGTTCAGTTTTATACAAAACTTGGCTCTGTATTTTAATAAAATTTTTAACCTTAGATTTGGCTCATAGGTGGTAGTTTTGTCCTTCAGGGCCCTTTAGAATAAGTCTTTCACATCATAGTCCTTTAAGGATTGGATAAMAGTATAACCATGGTTTTCTAAGTATTATCTTTTCCTGGCTAAAAATTCTCAGTTGTTTTTATGAGATCTTCATATAACATAGTTTCAAGTTGTGTCACTATTTCAGACATGCTCTAAGTGACAATTATTTTTCAAAATACACCACCTGTAACTGGGCACATCATAGAAGTTGGTCCTCTAGACACACACACACACACAAAGAATCAGGATGATTCAATTCATTGAAACCTAGGTGAATTTAATCATACTTAACAAATAGGAATTAAATGCCACCCTAATAGCTCCTGCTAACCCAGGGTTTACCTAATTTTTTCCAGAATCAATGTAGGAATTTTTTAATTGGTTGGACTTTTTTTTAAATATACATTTCTGATTAAAGTAAGAGGTCTAAAAGAAATAAAACGCAATGTAAAAGTGCTTTTTGTTTTTTGTCTCCCAGTCAATTCTTGGAAGTAACTACAATTAAAATTTTCATGAGAAACTTTTGAAAATTTTCTACAAATGCATAAATATATCATTTGATATATTTTATTTTCACATAAATTGGATCTATTCTGAAATTTGTTTGTTCACTTATCTCAAAAAGATACCCAAGATAAGTGGAAAATGCAAATGAGTAGACTTACTACTTTAAGCAGAGTTTAACATTCTCTAGTGTGACATTTAGGTTGGTTATAACTCATAGACTTTTGTGCACCTTCACACATTTATCTATACCATCAATCATTGGAACTTGAACTAGTGGAACTGAATATACGTAGGTTGTTTACTTCAATAGATATTGTCCAAGTAGAACTTAGAAACATACACACATGAAAACACACACTTGGACTGCAACTCCAGACATACTAATTCCAAATTTCAGGATGCATAGCCTGTAATAGAGCATAGCATGCAATATACAATTTTAAAAATAAAGTTGAAATACAGAGAAGATTGAAAAATATTTTTAGAACTTATTTTGAAAATATTTTAAGTCACATAAGCTTTTCTGACAGCTATAACAGTTGATTCGGATTAAGACAACTATCAACTAGCACTTTTAAGCCTTTTGGAGAGTAAATTTTTACTAAGCCAAATGTCTTACATTTTGTATCTTTGCAATCAGTTTTACAGTGCCCTGTAAATATGGTTTAAAATTTTTATCTATTATACTTTGAGTCCATATTCTAAGAATATCTAGATTTTTTGCAAGTATATTCTTTTGGCTAATATATTTGCTTATTCTATTTTTATTTAAAAATTATAATAGGAAATTCATACTTTTATTCAAATCATCAGTAAACCAGTGAAATGAACAAGAGCAGATCATTGCAGTCCATCATTTAAGGTATCACATTTGGTTGGCATGTATGTACTAATCAGCAATTTTAAGGTTTTTTTAATCAACTAAAATTCAAATGAATTATACTGTTTTAAATTTTCATCTTGTCAAGAAGAAGACATGATAAGGAAAGTAGGATAAAAATTGTTGCCAAAGGCCTCCTTCCCTCTAGGAATACAGAATCATTTATCATTCCAGAAATTTTATCATTAATTTGTATACTGTATAAATATTTATAAAACATCCAATATATGCTGTACTTCTCCTAAGTACAGGGGACATAAGTAGAAGATGTTTTCTCTCCAGATGCACAAACTGTACTTACCACAATGTGGATGTTCTGTAAATACTTACTGGAAACCCCCACTCTAGGATTTTCACTTGAGCAAACAAATAMATTGCTATGACACCAACAAAAAACTGGGAAAGTTGAAGAAGTAGAGAGGGGGGATCTAAGAATTAGTAGTTACCCTTTGGCAATTTGACAATATTAGATGTGTTCTAGATACCAGAGGGGATATTCCAAAAACAAAACTAGATATGTGAGTCTGGTCTTTAAAGTTTGGATCAATTGAGAAAATTTTGAAAATTATTAGTAAGTAGATTTTTAAAACCATGAAATTTTAAAAATATTTATTTATTTATGTACCAGGGATTGAACTCAAGGGCATTCAACCACTGAGCCACATCCCCAGCCCTATTTTAATTTTATTTAGAGACAGGGTCTTACTGAGTCGCTTAGTGCTTTGCAATTTCTGAGGCTGGCTTTGAACTTGTGATCCTCCTGCCTCAGCCTCCAGAGCTTCTGGGATTATAGGTGTGTGCTACCATGCCTGGAATTTTTGAAATAATAAACTGAAGGCTCCCTAAGGGACATAAATAGTATAATTATGGAGGTACATATAGCCTATTTATTGATGGGGAGATTCAACATCTTAGTCATGATTCTCTAAAATACATTTAACATTTTAATTCAAAATGATAATGCTTTTCCTGACAATAACTTGACTCTGAAAATTATATGAAAAAATAAAAGGTAGAGAATAATACTTAGAAGAAATCAAAATTTAATATAAAATCACAATTAGGATATTTTGATACTATTGCAATGATAAGTTAATAGACCAAGGGAGAATGAAGGAAAGGCTAGTATACATTGAAACAGGGTGTTTGATTTATCAATATTGTGTCTTAATTTGCTAGTCAACTTATATTTACATGTGGAACAATAGTATAAAATATACACATGGCAATCATATAAGTGTACATGTGTGTGTGTGTATGTGTGTATTTCACATTTCCCAGAAAAGTTTTTTTTAATACATAACAGTGGCTCACTTAATAGCACTTTAAAAAAATGTAATCCATATCATGTTGCACACAAAAATAAATTTGTGTGCCCTGTGTGGTGATGAACAACTGTAATCTCATCTACTGGGGCTGGATGAGATAAGATGATTGCCAAGTTTGAGGCCAGCCTCAGAAACTTAGTGAGACCCTGTCTTAAAAAATAAATAAATAAAAAGGTTGGGGATATAGCTTAGTGGTAGGTTATCCTGGGTTCCATCTCCAGTACCACACAAAATAATAACAATATTAATTATAATAATGATATTGACAAAGAAAAAGTAACTATTTAACTTTAGCCTGTTATGTCAAGTTGCTCCTAGCTGTAAACACAGAGCAGGGCCCTTTCAGGGTCCTTCAGCTGCCCTGCAAAGTGGGGCTGATATAGTCCATCAGCCTTGGATAGTTTTCCTGACCCTCAGGGGACCAGCTCACCATGAATTCTATGACATTTATTGTCCCTGGTTGCCTATCTGTGAGCAATAAATTTGCTTTGCTTTAAAAAGAAAATTAAAAAGTAACTGTTAAATAACAATACTTCTATCTTGTAAAAAGATATGACATTTTTATTGGCAAATTATTTTAACACACAAACCACAAACTGTAGAACAGAGTGGGTGCTCAATATTTATTAAAGGACTTAAAGATGGTCATATATTGTATTAAAGTTCTTAAAATTCTACTTAAATTATTATTATGAAACTTAAAAGAAAAGTCATATGTAACAGAATTTTTAAACAAATTTAAATATATTAGTCATAAATTAAACTGTAGCCCACCTAAAAATTGGTAAGAGATAGGTGCAACCACAGTTTTAGCCAGATAGTCAATATTCATTTGAAAAGAAAGTGCTGGATAATTATCAGAAAATTACAAATTAAAACTAATGAGATATAATAATAATCTTCCAATTGAAAAGACATTTTAAAAAGTATCAAGCATTAGCTATGATATGGAGAGATGAGAATACTTATAGACTGTTGATGGGAGCATAGTTGATTTTACTACTTTAGGGACCCTGTTACAGTAGTCTGTTCCCTATGAAGTCTCATAGAAAACTCATATTAGTTGGGAAACCTCAGTTGCAGACAAGTTATTGCTTTTTAATCAACATTAAGTCCAAAGAAGCAGTTTCTCTCACTGTTAACCTCAATACTCCTTAGAAATGAAATTGTCAGAAAGACAAATCAATAATTTAATACATGCTCTACTTTTATTAGAATGAGAATCTCAGCATATGTCTGGAGATTTGACATCCCTAATCACTGTTATATTTCACATTCTTACAACATTTGTGATCTCTATTAAGAATTAAGTATCCATATTATTATGTCTCTTTTAAGACAAATGTGTTTACGATTGCCCTTTGTGCATTCTGATTCATGGCATCAAGGCTAGTGGAAATAATTCCCTAAAAATATTTTTTTCTTCATATTTTAAGAAACTCCTTAATTACTGACAAGGAAACATTTCTTACTAGCTAGAAAATTATATAAAGTACTCTAAAAAAAAAAACCTAACTTATCTGAAGAAGTAGATTATATCATTTCAAATAGTAAAAATCTTGGGTAGAGGTTTTCTATACCTTTATTGAAGTTTTGTCAGTATCCTCTTTTGCCCCCTAAAACAACTACTGGTTTATAATAAATGCTTGCATACTATTTAGTCTCCATTTGTTCATCTATAAGTGGTTTTAACTAGATAACATCCTTTCGTTTTAGAACGTTATAAGATGTGTAATATATGCTGTTGCCTTTCCCTAGAGATAAAAGGAATTTAGCAAGATAGGCCAATTCATAGAACTGTTCAATTATCAGGATTTAATATGTCTATTTTCAATGGTTCCTAACACATTTTCAGACTACTGGAAGATGTTTAACTTAGACTAACAGCAAATGTCTCAGAATAATCTAAAAGAGCTGTAAGAAGTAGTTCCTTAGTAAAAAATAAACTATGATGTTAGGACAATTCTGTCTTCCATGTTTAAAATAAGTATTTAATGTAGTTTAATATGTATAAAAATATGAAAAGTTATATCTAATTTTTATAGGAAAGAGACTTAGTAATCATACCTGCGGGCACAAAGTTTCTAGGTGATTGGCTGCAATTCTGACAATCTTAATTCCATCTTCATTTGTCGACATGGAACAAGCAAGATTTGCAACCTGGAACATAAATTCAAAAGAATGGAAATTATTTTAGATCATCAAGGAAATGCAGAAACACTTGTTATCCTGGACAAGTAAGAGTATGCAGGTATTCACTGAAAATATACTGACAAACAGCCCTATCATAAACATCACTGTTATCTGTTTTATGAAAAAAAAATCAGAGAAACCAATAAAACAAATAAYAACAAAGGGTCCTAGACAATTATGTAAAACAAAAATGAAATGCTGATGAATAAATCAGTAAACTCTACATGGTTCTTGACATTAACATCTAACCCGTAATAAGAAGCTCTGATGAAACTGAAAAAAAAAAAGTTTATGGATTGAATGCTAATAGGTTCTTGGAATCTCATATGATTGTGGTTTATTTTAAGTTTGTAATTGGTTTATTATTTCCCAGAGGTCTATTATGCATACTTAAGTTGCATTAAGCATGACTGTATCTTATTCATGTTTTATTCAGCATAAAATATACTCCCAAGCTGGACAAATACAAGACAATTAAATACTTTTTTTCTGTTCTTTATTTTCTACTATAATGTAATGGGCACTGTTTAACATTATAGCAGTCAATTTGATTCAAGCATTAGCAACACCCAAGTTTATTTTATTTTATTGCTTCAGAAATTTACACACTCTTCCAGTGAAATGGTTGTTCTTTTAAATAATTGCCATTATGTCCATCACCTAAATGCAATATTTACAAATACTTCCATTAGGCCATAGAAGAGCCATGGAGAGAGTGTGGGATCTTTTCCCCTTAGATTGAACTCCACTCTTGTCCTACACTCCTCCTGCTACCACACTGAGGGTTATAGAGGCAATGTTTTCTCTGATGTATAAAATATGCCATTATCTTCATCACTGCAGGGGAATAGTTTTCCAAAGAATAATTTTTCTACCTTTCCATTGAGTCCATTTATTATTATATACTTTAATACATTATAGTTTTTACTGTTCAAATTTCAAAATACATTCAGTTGTAAAGAAACCTTCATATCAATTTCACACAATGCAAATGAACAACAAAAATAAATTGAGATCACTATTTTGAGAGTACCACAATATTATCATTTAAATGGATTTACAATTCTTTGCTTTTTTATACCATTGCTTTTAATATGTYAGTAGTGAAATAACCCCTTGGTTTGAATTTACATATAATAAAATAACAAGCATACATTATTTAACTGTGGAAGGGCATTGTTCACTTTACTAAAGTACAAGGAAATGGATAACTTGAAAAGGTCTTTTGTTGGCTTGAAGGTCATAATGCCTCAACTTTCATATCTGACACATAATTAGCACATTTGTGAATTATCTGAAAAGGGCAACAGTTCCTGTGCCTCTCTACCCTACCCCCCCCCAATCTCATTCAGTGATATGAAACTTAGCACTCTAATTGCTTCAGTATGTATTACATTAATTTGCACCTCACTTGCAGAAAATACCTATCTGTAAATAGAACACTGTTTGTTTAAAGCATATGTGCATATTATATATATGCACGTGTATGTTTAAGTACATATATATATGCATATATATGCTTGTGTGTGCATGTGTCATGTGTGTTTATACATACATACACATATTTATACTCATTCAATTCAATTTAACTGAGTACCTCTTAATCCAGAGCTTAAAATTATAGATAACTATCCCCACGTTGACATTCTTTTACTTTTTCAAAATGTATTATCTTCCTCTTCTTTTCCTTTCTTAAAGTAGGCTTTCTTGTTCCAGATATTTGATGGCCATAATGTTTACTGCAAGACAATTAAGTGACTAATATAATATGGAAATTATTCTAAATACAGTTTGCATTTATATAAGAAAAATTATTTATTTTTATAATATTTTCAAATGAAAATACAACTACAATTTTGTTTTCTACCCAAAATTTACTATTCAATTAATTATCATATTATTATTATTTCTGTCTTCATTTATACAGTGCCTGTGTGTATCTGAACTTCTCCCTTACCAGAACTATCCAATGTCAGCTCATTTAGGTAATCAAGTACTATTTCAAGACATGTACAATTTTAGTGAAATTTTGCACAACAAGGTTTCATTTAAAATATACTGTGCATGACAAAGCAAAAAAAGTTAAATGTCTACTTGATCATGGTGCACAATTTTTTTGATGTATTTTTGTATCCAATTCGCCAGAATTTTATTGAGGATTTTTGCATCTAGCTTCATTAGAGATATTGGTCTGTAGTTTTCTTTCTTTGAGGTGTCTTTGTCTGGTTTCGGAATCAGGGTGATGTTGGCCTCATAGAATGAATTTGGAAGGACTCCCTCTTTTTCTATTTCCTGAAATAACTTGAAAAATATTGGTATTAATTCTTCTTTAAAGGTTTTGTAAAACTCCGCTGTATACCCATCCAGTCCTGGGCTTTTCTTGGTTGGTAGTCCTTTGATTGCTTCTTCTATTTCATCCATTTATATTGGTCTGTTCAAATTGTGTGTATCCTCCTGATTCATTCTGGGCACATCATATGACTTAAGAAATTTATCAATGTCTTCACTATCTTCTATTTTATAGGAATATAGGGTTTCAAAATAATTTCTAATTGTCTTCTGTATTTCTGTAGCATCTGTTGTGATATTTCCTTTTTCATCTCGTATGTTAGTAATTTGAGTTCTCTCTCTTCTTCTCTTTGTTAGCATGGCTAAGGGTCTGTTGATCTTATTTATTTTTTCAAAGAACCAACTTTTAGTTTTGTCAATTTTTTCAATAGTTTCTTTTGTTTCAATTTCATTGATTTCCACTCTGATTTTAATTATTTCTTGCCTTCTGCTATATTTGCTGTTGTTTTGTTCTTCCTTTTCTAGGGCTTTGAGATGAAGTGTGAGCTCATTTATTTGTTTTTTTTTTTCTTTTTTTGAGGAATGACCTCCAGGCAATAAATTTCCCTCTTAAAACTGCTGAATTACAGTAGATGGGGTAGGGAGAGAAGATGGCAAGGGAGGGGAAAGGAGGGGAAGGAAGGGGAGGGGAGGGGGGATAGTAGAGGTTAGTAAAGGCAGTAGAATACAACATACACTAGTATGGCAGTAGGTAAAAAAGTGGATGTGTAACTGGTGTGAATCTACATTATGTATATAGGGTAAAAATGGGAGTTCATAATCCGCTTGAATCAAATGTATGAAATATGATATGCCAAGAACTTTGTAATGTTTTGAACAACTAATAAAAAAAGTTAAATGTCAGAAAAAATCATATTTCCAATTTGACTGATTTGCAACATTTTTCAAAGTCAGATCAGTGAAAGAATGAAAGCCAAATTTCTTCTATAATAATTTTTCCTAAATTTTGTGTGAGTTTTCAGACGACCAAGTATATTTCCAAGCACATTATGAAGGTAACTCCCTACTTGTCAAAGAAAATAGCATGCAAATAAAATATTTAATAAATTATTTGTAATATTTTGACATATGACACCCTTTATTTATCTACCTATGACTATGTTTCAGATATCTGGATAAAACTTCATTATATAAACAGAATCTCATAATAATCATCTGCCCACTAAGGAAAACTAGGAGGTAGGGAAGTTTTGGAGACTAACAGATATGGGTTTGAATCTGATTCCCCCAATCAATAAGCTCGTGTTGGTGAGAAGGATGCTAACCTCTCTTATGCTGCTTTGTTATCTATAAATTATGTGTGGTACTATCTACCCCACTGGGACATTTTGAGAGTTAAATAAAACTGTGTGAAGAAGGTCTGATACCTGGCAGCCCTGACCATACAATGAACTTCTGTTCATCCCATTTACTTCTCAACTAATAGCGGGAAAAGACTCTTCACACTCTCAAAGGTTTTAAAGAATTAAAGCCTTAGGAACCTAAAGAAATTTAACAAAACATCTAATTCAAGAGCCACAAATTCAAATCCTTTCAAAACCCATACAGGGAGGAGGAGATGACAGATTAAAAAAGGAAGCATGTACTAGCAGTTCCTCAGCACCAGGCTTATAAAGCAGGAAGACTGTTCCTCAGTGAGGTAAGTAACTAAGGAATCTCCCTGAAATTTAATACTGAATGGCCAAAAAAAAAAAAAAATCATACCGCTACAGAAGGTTGGTAACTTGGACATAAGGTAACATATCTTAGAGATGCCAGCTCTGGCCACCACCAGCAGCAGCAGAACAGAGCAGAGAGTGCAGACAACAGAGATAGGTGCCCAGAAGCTTAAAAAAATAATAAAATAAATAAAAATTGATTTGGGGAAGCCTGTAACTTACAGAGGAGGGCTGTTTTACAGACAGGGAGCTGGCAGAAAGCATCTCAGTGAAAAACAAATCTAAAGAAGTCCCCAGGGGCAAAAGCATTCTCTGGTGGCAACATGGAATGCCCTTTGGTGGTGTGGCATGGAAAGCACTTTGAGGRTAGTCCTCTTAGAAAGTTCTCCATGGGGATAGTGTAGAAAGCCCTTGGGACAGGCATAAAACAGACTGGCAGGTGAGGAAAATGTTCCCAGGCACTAAAAGCTGTTTCTGTCCAATTTGGGTAGCTGTGAACAGAGACGGGGGTTTGGGAACTCATAAAGGAAGTTCTTAACAGCCAATGAAAAGCTTCCCAGAGAGTACCTGAACTAGAGAGACTGAAACAGCCACAAGGAAAATTTTACCTGGATTATTCAGCCTCTGTATCCCAAGGGAAAAACTCATGTAATTGTCAGCAGCCCATAAGAATTATTGCAGGATGCTCACTGTGACCACACAAATGCATTGGCACAACAGGTGGATACCAGTAATTTATGTCCATAGTACTGAAGGTGAAACTGGTGCAGGATTCATCTCTATGTCCTAACAATGGATTTTAAGTCCAGAAGAGATTGCAACTCCATGCCAATAGGGGGTGTAGTAAAAATTTCAAAATCCCATCAACAGAGTTCCAACATTCACCAAACCCCAAATCCCCAAAACTAGAAACTCCAATCTAGAACTCTGCATTACCCTGAATATAGGATTACATAATTT